TTCAATAGGAAAGACAAGACCTTATTCGTTTTTCAGAGTTAGGTTTTTTTTTAAGGTGTTATACGAGTGGTGTAAGTGGGAAGATCGCTAGGGTTGCCTACCACCACGACCCCAGACCCTTTCCTGATTCTCGTATTCCTGATGCTCCTTTTCATGTTCATGTCATCTTGACTAAACCAAAGATGCTCAAAAATTGGGCAGGCCCCCGGCTCGGCCAATAGACTCGGGCTTGGGCCCGAACCAACTCCCATGATTATACAGTAAAATTTGTAAATATTTTAAAAAATACAATAATATCTCCCTTTCTCTTGATGTAAATATATGTTTTTTTTTTTCATTCCCTTATATAGAATGCTTCATTCTCTTCTTTCTTCTCTTCTCTATCTACTATCTTTTTTCAAGTATCTCTTATCTATCTATATCTATTCTCTTTTCTCCTTTTCTTCTACTCCTTTCCACGCCCCTGCTCTGTTTCTTTTTTCATACAACTCCCACTAACTAAACTCTACTTTGCATTTTCAGATTGTCGTTGCTGCTCTCATTGCAGTTAATTTCGGGCTCACAGGCCAGGGAACCTTCTCTAAAACCTATGCGGATTTGGTGGTCTTCTTCATTTGCATCTACGTCTCCGCCTTTGCGTGGTCCTGGGGACCATTGGGCTGGCTGGTCCCCTCTGAAATCTTCCCGCTTGAGATTAGGTCTGCTGGTCAGAGCATCAATGTCTCTGTGAACCTGCTCTTCACCTTCATCATTGCTCAAGTTTTCTTGTCCATGCTCTGTCACATGAAGTTTGGTCTCTTCTTCTTCTTCGCCGCCTTCGTGGGTCTCATGACTGCATTCATTTACTACTTTTTGCCTGAGACCAAGAATATTCCAATTGAGGAGATGGAACAAGTTTGGAAGGATCACAAGTTTTGGGGGAAGGTGATCAGGGATGAGGATGAGAAGGACATTGAGATGAGTTGAGCTGAGGGAGGACATGAACGCACTCTCTCTCTAGATCCCCCTGTTCTATTTTTCTTTGTTGTCCTCCAGGTTTAGGACCGATGGTTTTTATCTTTATTTTTGTTTTTGAGGTTTAAACACGGTAACTGATCCATTTTTACTTGCATTTAGACATGGAGCTTTCATTATTTTATCCAATTGCATGCTTCAATTATAAAGTTTGTTTTGGCTGCACTTAGGATTACATTCTTCAATTAAAAATATTAAGTTTGGTTTGGTTGCACAACTTGAATGGATTAATGTTTTGCTTGCACTTTATAGCAATTTACATGGACCAAAGCTTGTTTTGATTGCACTTCTTAGAACTTATATACGGAAAAAGAAAAAGTTTATATAAGGGCGAGGCCCTAAACATTCAAATTAAGGGGCACCTCCAAAATTCACTAGAAGAGGTTCTTTTGATGCTCAAAAAATCCTCAAATCAATCATCTTGGCCTTAAGATTTATGAAAATAAGAAAAAATGGATTTTAAATATTGGAAATAGTGCATCAAATCCTCAAAATCGATCATCCGACCACAAGATGTATGAAAATAAGAAAAAATAGATTTTAAATTTTGGAAATAATGCATCTTGTAATTCATTTTCTAGGGTGTCAATTTTCAAAAATTTTAAGTATTCATAGATATGCTCGATCTACACTATTTTTTAAGCTTTGAATTTTTTGATTGGAGAAGAATCTTTAAATTTTATAATTATGGAAGAAATTAAAATTTCAGGCCGTCACAAATATTTCCACGGCCTAAACATCTTTCCACACTGTTTGAAAGTGGGCCTTACTTTGAGTATTTAGGGCCTCAGCCTTTTACAAACGTATTTAGGGCCTCAGCCAAACAATACCCTTCATGTATTGTTTAACTGCCAGCCTCAAATAAATAGCAGCATATTGTTTGGATAGCTAATTACTTACAAATCCGCCATTTCCATATCATTTTTTTTTCCTGCCTACAGGTTTGAGGAGCAGCTCATAGGAGTTGCAGCCTTAAACAATCCAATTAAGGCACACCCAAAAATTTTATCATAACATGTAATTTTCTTGTAAAACATTATTAGTATTATCTTAAAATCTATTTTCATACCTAATTAAAAAAATTTAAATTCCAAAAATGGTTAAATCAAGTAGATCTAGAAATATATGAAAATCTTGAAAATGGACGGTCTAGATAATATGCTCCAAGATGCACTATTTCCAATATTCAAAAACTTTTTTTTTTTCATATTTATAGATCTCGATATCGAGATGATTGATTAGAGGGCTCGTTCAACATTAAAACCACATTTCCGATAGATTTTTGATGTGCATCTATGATTCTGCATTTTAAGGTTGCAACCTTATATAAACTTTTCCCCAAAAAAAATACATAAAAGGGATCGTATATAATGAGAGCTTTTACCTTCGGTACATGGTGGTCCCAATTAATACTGACCATTGGATGTGAAATTGGGTGGTTGTATTTATTTCATTTACCAAGCTTAAATTTCAAAAAAAATTTGTGACACACCCAAGCTATCAAATTTTACATCAGATGGTTTAGATGGCCGTAAGTAATTACGTCATTTCTATACAAAAAATAAAGGGAAAAGTTTATATAGAGTCGAGGCTCAAAACAATCAAATTCAAGCCTACCTCAAAAATTTCACTAGAAGAGGTTGTTTTGATGCTCAAACATCTTCCAATTGATCATCTTGAGATCAAGAAGCATTGACATGAGAAAAAAATGGATTTCAAGTTTTGAAAATAACGTATTTTGTAACGCATTTTTGGACCGTCAATTTTCAAGATTTTCAAGTTTTTATAGATCTGTCGATCTACAATATTTTTGAAGCTTTCAACTTTATAAATAACTATAAAAAGATATTTTAAGGCTATCACAAAGATTTTCAATATTGAAACCACATTTTTTAATACTATTTGAAGGTAGGCTCTAATTTGATTGTTTAGAGCCTAGGCTCTATACAAACCGCACCGAAAAGTAATGGTCTCATTGTATACCATCTTATATATAATGGGTGTGGTTTATACAAGGCATCAATCTTAAATAATCAAAGTGAGGACAAACTCCTATCCCTGCCCGAGGATGCAGATTCAGAGTGAAAAGCATGAAATTGTAACACTTTCAAACTATAGGCTAACTTCAATAAAAAAGGGAAAAAAATATTTCTAAATCACATTCTCTATAGGCTTGAAAACAATGTTTCAAGTTCGAACGCAGACCGTCCCATTTTTGAAGGGTAAGATCTGTTAGAAAACTCAATATATCCAAATTTTGATTTGAGAAAACTCGTCTAGTGACGTTAAGGTAATTACCAAAATTTGAGATCAAAATAATCTTCCAAAGTTCTCCACCCGCAGGAATTGTACAGTATGCTCCAACGAGAGCACGGCGTACACATTTTATGCAAACATGGATTTAGGGAGCCATAGATGCCATAATTACGGGCTTAAACAGCCTTAGCCACCCTCCTGAGTTACCTAATCCAACACCAACTTGCCCAACAAACTCTATGTAAGTGAAGTTCTAATGCTAAAGGATTTTATGCGCCAATAGGAGCATAGTATCCATTTACTTCATACAAAACCCATTCTAGAAGTAATATAGGAGTCCAAACTTCGGGTTATAACTTCTCCAACACCTTGATTAATTCTCAATAAAAAAATTTCTAAATCTCACTTTCTATGCACTTTGAAAAAAATAATGCTTTTTAGATTGATCATGGACGTTCAATTTTTCTAATGGTGAAAGTTAATTGTTAAAAAACTTGAAATTAAAATATTCTCTCTTGAAAATAACCATTTAGTGATTATTACGTGGTTCCCAAACTTTCATAGGGAAAAAGAGAAAAAAAATTCTCCGAAATAAATAACTCGTATACTTGAAAGAGTAGAAAAGTATACAATGAAACCATTTATCTTTGGTATAAGGTGGTTACGGTTAATCTTGACTATTGGATGTGAAATTGGGTAGCTGCGTTAATGTCATTGATCAAGCTCAAATTTCAAAGAAATTTTCTCGACTTTGTAACACACCCAAACTATCAGATTTCACATTGAATGGTTATAAGTAATTGTGACCTCCATGTACCAAATGTAAATGGTTTCTTTCATAGCAAAAATTGACACCATATATAAACTTTTCATTATAAAATTTAGATAATATGCATTTCAAATATTGCCCCTTTATTTGCGTGCCTTTTTTTTTTTTTTTTCATTATTTTCTATTTTGTGTTAGTTTTATTTTTTCCATTTTTATATTTATTTTTTCCGATTTTGTACCCTTCGCTCAAAAATTGAAACACGTTCCATTATGAGTGCCACTTAAGCCTTGCACTGTATGTAAAATGTCCATCGCTCATTCTCGTCAACGGACGGTGGATCTGAGCCCTTCTTTCCATCTGGTTCACAACCAAAAGAACGGCTCATCTCCATTGTCTATAGCCACTAACCATTTAGTTTAGATCTGATTCATTCCCTTGATACATATACTATAGTACCAGGTAATGCATATAGTATAGAGATATGTATACTATAGTATTTCTGATTCACTCCCCTATCCAACTGTCCAATTTAGATCAAGTAAGCCACCGACTGTTTAGTCTAAAATCTTATCCCTCATAGTATTTTTAAAAAAATATTATACAAATCATATGAATATGAAATTTGGTAAGTGCCATCAAGGCACACCTAAAAAAATATTGAAACATATCTTCATAAAATAAAATATCAAAATGTCCATAAAACATTTAGGGAATTTTGGTTATTTTATTTTACCTGTATATATATTTTTAATTTTTTTATAAGTGCAAGTTTAAGAGTGGAGTGAACGCCTTAAATTTGGTGTCCAATTATTTTGTAGAAAACAAATTAAAAATAAAAACAGTGTAGAGGCATGACATTGTAATTGGGTCCACCTTAGATGTCCATTCAGATCGGACAACCGGATAAGGGAAATTATATATCGATTGCAAGGGGGCTAGCTAGAAGGAGATGGAATCAGCTGGACCATCCACGAATGGTACAGCCATCTAAACACTTTTATATAGTAGGGAAAGTATAGAAAACTTTCCCTTATATTAATTTATTTTTTCTTTCTTTTATTTCTTTTAAAATCGAGTCCAACTTATTTTATTAGTGGTTGGACCGAGTTTCTTATATATAGTAGGGTATGTATAGAAAACTTTTTTTGCAGTAATTTATTTTTTTCTTTTATTTCTTCGAAAATCTAGTCCAATTGATTCTACTAGTGGTTGGATCGAGTTTGACTGGACTAAATCCCTGACCAGTTTGGTAGGTAGATCAATCCCGTGAGATGAATGGACATAAGTACATAACAAAATTGAGGTTCATCTTATGCTTGGAAAAATAAAATGAACTATACTGGTACATAGTTATTCCGCGCGTATAATAGGTAATTCCATATGGAGAAGTTCCTCTATAAAATTTAGGGAAAATTATATATATATTCGTTGTAGTTTTCGTTATTATCAAAATACCAAATATTTTTCGTTATTACTGGAATGTATGTTTTTTTTCACTTCATAACCATTTTTTTTTTTAAAAAAAAGACTTTTTTTCCCTTTTTCGGTTTTTAAACAACCAAAAATAGGCAGAAGCTTGAAATTTGCATTCTTATTTTCGGTTGTTGAACAACCGAAAATGTCTTGTTTTCAGTTATTGAACAATTGAAAATAGGACTGCGTATTTTAGAAGCTTGCTGAAATATGCAGTCCTATTTTCGGTTGTTTAACATCCGAAAATGTATTGTTTTCGGTTGTTCAACAACCGCAAACCGAAAACCGAAAACATAACTGGGTATTCTATAAGCATGCTCAACATCTGAAAATGTTATATTCTTTGTTGCTCAACATCCGAAAATATCCTATTTTCCATTGTTCAACAACCGAAAATAGGGCAGAAGCATGGAATTTGCATTCTTATTTTCGAAAAATGCCATATTTTCGGTTGTTCAATAACCGAAAATAGGACTGCATATTCCAGAAGCTTAAATGAGCCCCGTTATTTTTTGTTGTTCAAGAACTGAAATTATCT